TTTAAATTTACGGATTGCTTTCTCAAGGCTGCTCCGGTGCCAGTTGCTTTTTGATAATTGACGGTACCAAGATGGATAAGGATTGCTGTTTGGAAGTTTATGTCTGAAGTACATAGGTGTAGGACGGAGACTTGAGCTTGCTTGCTGTCGGTGTACATACGCTGGGACACTCATCATACGGCTGAACATTCTTTTAGGGCCAACTCTGGGTGAAAATTCATCCTGATCCCTGTACTCAATGTTCAACGAGCTGGTCTCCGACATGGCATCTTCACGCTCCTCCGCAGGGGAGGGCAGAGGACCATTAACGTTCGCAAGCATATCCAGAATTTGTATAGTGTACTCTTCCATTCTTGTTAAGCGTTCGTCGATGCTCGTGACTTTTTTTGAAATTTGTTGGACTTTTGTTTCATTTTCCCGGGTTGTCTCTCTCATGTGATTATTGATGGATTCAACCCTGAGCGATAAACATTAAGAACGATAAGAATGAACCATTTTTGATCCAAGATCCAATTTTTGGATCGGAAAAGTGACAAGAAATCATGGCCGAACGGTAAAAAAATCTGACTACGAAATGAGCAACAAGAAATCAAACAGGACTTAGAGTAATAAGGCAAGATATACTGTCAGGCACAGTTACCTAAATCCAATGACTCTCACTCTTTCTTCTGGTGTAGCATGGAACAGCGTGTCCTTTTGTTGTAAATAACTTTCAGCGCATTGTTCTTCAAACAACATCAGTTTATGTACATCTTGCCTCTCCAGAAAAAGCTCTACAATATGGAAACAAGACGAAACGGCGAGAGTTAAAGGAAACAAATCATGTTCGTAAAAGAAGGAGTAAGTAGTGGTCTACTTCTAACAGGGTGCTTTTCCAATGAGTGGCGTCTAACCAAATAACGAGGTAATCATAATAACCGATGAGAACTTTATACTTAAGGGGGCTAAAATGTGGGAAAATGCAAATAACCAAAAAGAAAGTTTTTTATAGCTTTTTTTAGAAAAACAGTTGTATCCAGAGTCACTAAGGCGCCTTCCTTAACCATAAATTGTCGTGTAGGTTTGGCCAGGTTTTGGAGGATCGTGTATTACACATTGTATTGGAAGTCGCTGGTAAGGGGCTCATTTCAACCTCAACTCCATCGAGATAATTCTCTCCTTTTTCTCTCCAGCTTTTTCTTCTTCTTCCGTGAATGTTATCTATAAATCTTTTTACACTAAGCAAGACAATCTTTCTATATTTGGTCACTCACTTAGTTTTTTGTCTGCCCTTTTCCGTTTCAGTTTGCTTTTCTTGACACAACACCGCGGTCTACAGCAAGCTTTGTAAATGAGATACAGATGATTGATGATAATAAACGGAGGCACCAACACAGGTCTATGCGTATACTCCATGATCAGCTGATACCGCTGGAATTTCCAGATCTGGTTTGAGTTGGCTTGAACATAGGAAAACGTGTTGCTAACAAAACAAATAAGATTTACAACCATAGTAGATGAAAGTCACTTCCATTTGGAAACATTCCCATAAAAACGCATCGTTAAAGAATTAAAATGCCCGCGTTAGTTTAACCGATTGCGGTCTATTATTCTTACTTAAGATATCACGAAGATAAAATTAGTGAAACGCTAGGCGGATGTACCTATAAATTGTAATCACCTTGCTCAAGAGTTTTCTATGGGTAAATTTCAATACACTGAGCGGATAGGGATAGTGTATGCAGTGGTCAGTTGAAGAATATTCAGGACCCTGTCTACTGAACGCTTGAAAGATAATGATCATAAAATATAGGCAATCAGAAAAATGTTGAACCACGTAGAAAAGTAGGTAACATGAAGCAAATTGGTTAAAGAAAGACAAAAATTTCAAATAAAAATTCCATGTTGACCGCCACATTTCGACTAGTTACATTTGTACAATTCCTAGTACAACTCTGTCATGATATTGCTTGTTATCCACAGCCGAGACGGTCACTTTACAAGATGCGTAATCTCAGCCATTCTTGACAATCTAACGCTTCGAGCCAGCTCTCAGGCTACTTAAAATGATAACACATAACATCAGCAGGTTAGGACACACAGAGGTAGGACACACTTGGACTCCATGTGGTTAATAGTACCCCACCTCAAAAAGTACCAATGAGCCCCTGTTTCTGTGACTTACTTGAAAATGGCAATGAGGAGATTGAGCAGTAGAATATTGGCGACCAACAGATACAGCGCCATAATAACAGTGACGAGCGTTCCACCAAATTCATCAAAACGAGGTGTGTTGAACGCTGTGCTGTTTTGACCCTCTACAAAAACAAAAACAAAAAGGAAATACAATGAAAAGCAACACACGACGACCGCCTTAATTACCAGTAGCTGATGAAATCTGTTGAAAGATGACGGGGTAATTATGTAGACCAGCTTTCCAGAAAAGTACACCAACTTGTACACCAATAGGTACGAAACAAATCTTTTCAAAGCTTGTCAACCGGCACTGAACACTCACGTTGAAGACGGAACCAATTGTTTTTTAGTTCAGGGCTACTCTCACCTCGATGATTGGCAATAAACATCAAAGGGACTTCCCACAATTGTGGTATTACAGAGATGGCAAACAAATAACTCTCAAAAATTGGGTTTACAATCGCTGCATAGTAATAAGCGTTTTTGCCTTGCTCTCAAGGTATGGCTTCGTAACTCAGCTGGTAGTAGCACCCATCTATTATCTAGGGGCATGGGTTTGAATCCCGTCAAGTCAATGTTTTTCAGGCTTCTTTTTTTTTGCAATTCATAAAATCGCACTCCACCTGCGAGGATCATTCCCTTGCTTGGTTTTTCATCTGACATCTATTTTTCTTCTGCGTCCTTTGTTTTAATAGGAAATACAAACAAAGGTAACATACCATGGCTGGTATCTTCGATGAACAGTTCGCCATAGACTTGGAAGTAAGGTCTGAAGAAAACTTTGGGAATGAGGTTCCAAGAACCCGATTCGTAGGGAAACAAGATGGCTTGTTGCGCCACACCATACGCCATCAGGAACACCACCATGATAAGCAGAAAATACGTCATGTCGATTGTCTGAACAAAAACAAAACCATTGGTTTAGTCAAGTTATAGTCAGCCCGCCATTATGGGGAACTAACACAGGCAAGTTACTTCAGATGTCATTCCAAATGGCGAGAAGTTGTTTTTTCTTTTCATCCGTGGTTTAAGTAATTTCAGTATTACTGAGAGCACCCTTATTCTTCATATCAGTGTTGGAAAATGATGAAAATACTGTGCAAGGCAGAGATTGTTTTTATCACAGGTTCTAAGTTCTCGTATTCACATAATAGTGATGTGCTTCTCGGTAGCTCTGAATCTAACTCTTCCTCCGAGCTTGTCAATACCCAATATATTTATTCATTTGTTATTCAACAATGCCATATTTGATTTGTACTATATGCTTGTAATTATTACAATGGCTTACCTGTAGACTTGCTAAAATTGCCAAGTACACCCCATAATAAGTAATTTACTTTTTTGATATCCTAAAACAATTTTTTTATTTTCCTTTTTTCAATACAGCCTAAGAGCCACACATGTACCACTGAGTTATGCGTACCATTCGACCAATCATGACGACGTACGGTCCCAGCACTTTGCTAAACGAGAAAATGTCGAGAACGCGGATGATCCACAACATGATGTCGAGGCAGTAAAGAATGTGACCTATTTTGAGAGTTTCTGGGTTCAAGCGAAAACCAGCAGCAACAAAGAATAACAGAATGGCACAACCGTCACACAAATTCCATTTGCAGGAACCCCATTCTTTAAATTTCTTGAGTAGACTCTTAGACTCCGAATGAAGCACCTGTTGATGATTAAAGGAAAGAAAGATGTGAGTAAATCACCCTTTAAGAACGGTGTCAAATTGGCTGCTTGCCCGCTTTTTGAAATGTTAGGAAAAATCTTCGATATAATTTAGTGTCAACAGTTATAAGGGATTGCTTTGGTTTAACATTGCAACGTCCTCCAGTGAAAGATGAACCTTCTAAAATCTGCCGCGCTCTCAATGCGTGGCTTCGTAGCCCAAATGTGTTCAGGACTCTTTTCTGCAATTGTTTAAATTGTAGTTCACCAGCGGGGATCATTTCTTTGTTTGATAAATTAACTAAGAGTGATAAATTACCCAAGCCCAATATGGCTGGCCTAAAGAAAATTTTCTAGGAAAAGAAAAGTTTTTGTAGATCTATGAGTGCTATAATATAAACCTAAAAAACGATCACGCGAGGAACTTTCAAAAGAGGCGGAACACCGAACAATGCAAACATGTCAAACGTTGGATGTAATGGGGAAAATAAATGAAAAAGGTTACATTTGTACAAACCTGTCTTACTTCCTCTGTAAACAATGTAAATACAAATATGATGAGGATGATTTCTTGGGGAGGGGGGGTCACAGGAAGACGAACTAAAATAACGTAACAGAACAAAATCAGGAACATGAAGTAGACAATCTGCAACAAGAAAATAACGCGTGCAATTAGCGTACATGAAGATATACAGTCGCCTCCTTCCCTCCCCCATTAAAAAAGTACTAGTCAGTCAAGATAACTTGGTTCGATCAACTGAGCCGATGAAGTAAATTGGCCACCGCTAAGAGAACATTCGCTCAGACAAAGGGCTAACGCTTTAAACGTAAGCTTCAGAATCTCTTTACAGTGGCCAATTTACATTATCATGTCTCTTGATAAAACCAAATTATCTCGTAATCCCCTCAACCGACGCAGCACCGCAGTTTCTTAAGAACCGGTCCTTACCCTACCCCCTTCAAACGTAAATTGATTAATTAAAGAATCGTTTCAGAGACGAAGCAGAGAGAGTTTAGACCTTCACAACCCTCGTCTGAGCTTTTTATGCAAAAAGCCGTACACGATGTATGATGCATCCAAACAACAACCCCGAAGACAAAGAGGGAAGGCAATGCGTAAGAAAAGCTCCGACCTCTTGTCGGCCACCATGTTTTCCTCCCGAGAAAGCAAACTATATAACCCGGTGGTACAGGATCAAAGCTTAATTATTCTACCTCTTATTGTTTGGCAAATTTCAAAGTAAGCTACCCACCACATTTCCCCAAAATTTGGTGATGGGCGCCCGATAAAAATCGAACAGCTTCCGTCCTAAACTGGGATCTACCATAGGACTCTCAGACGCATCCATCCATCGCTTTTTCACACTCAGAGAGTCCGTGCTTTCTGTACGGCTGGAGGGCGAGAATGATCTATTTAACGAGAATTACAAGAATTGTCCATGTAAGTTTGATGAGCAGTGCCCTTTTATTTCTGTGTATAACTAAACTAACTTTAAAAGGAAGTTATCTCAATTACAATTAATTTGCCCTCATGTATCGAACTTACTGCAAACACTTGTATGGTCATTAGATTCTCAAGGTAAACGAAAGATAACAATGAATGAAAATAGTAACGCCTTTGAAACATTTTTCCTTTTTTTTTTTTTAACGCAAGAATTGTGTGAATCAGGAATTTAAAAGAAATAAAACAACCCATATGTCAATAACACAATTGTGCGACGGTGGGTCAAGTTACCAGCGCATGAAACAAAGTGACACTGGAAACCATGCGACACAATGTCAATATTCGGAAAAAAACTTGCTCGCTACCAGCTAAATAGACACCTTAGCTGCAAGCAAATTACGAAAAAGACTAAAAGATGTTAATAATTCAAACGCCATGCGGGAATCACTATTATAACAAACCCAGCAAGCAGACAATAAAGTGGAAGAACATTTTCACAGCCGACTGAATTACAAAATGATTCCTATTCGAAGTGTTTTGTCCTTCATTGTCGCAGCTGTTTTTGTCCCCGCGGCTACCAACGCTAAGGAAGTTTCGGTAGTGTGGTCTAGAGAGGGCGAATACTTTGCTAATGGAAACAAAGCGCTGATTCTTAATGCGGGGGATAAGCTTGCAATCATCTGCCCCAACAGTGATGTCTCGAATGGACGAATGCCTCACGATGTTATGTTCGAGAATGTGTGGCGAGTTGGCTCAGCAGGATATAATCTCTGTGACGCGTCAGTAGACGGCAAGCTTCTGCTCAAATGCAAAGATCCTGAGCAAATCAAGAAGGTTGTTTTAGACGAGCTCTATGCGCAACTCGGAAGAACATATTATCTAATTTCGACCTCAAACGGACTTTTTTCTTCCCTTGACAACAAAAAAGGAGGGCATTGTGAGACGCAAAATTTGAAATTGACTGTGTACGTTCAGTGAATTATTGTTGGATGAAAGTATACAAAGCTCAAGAGGAAGTAACCATGACTTTATTTAACATCCAAGTCATGATGAATAACGGATTTCTGTCAATCTTCTCTTTAACAGTATGCTAATGACGATCATGGGAACACGGAGAAAATTAGACAGCGAACTGCGTGTAGAAAACATGGAAGCGTTTCTCCATTATTATCAAGATTTTCTTGTGTCTAGAGCAGAAGATCGGGACCTGTTACTTCTGCAAACAAGCCGTAGTAAGGCGAGATTCATTCTCGATTAGATGTAAAACGGGACAAGTGACATCATCACAGATTTGCTGCCTTTAAATGAATGTATTCTCATGTAGCACGTTAGTGTGATAAAATTCATTGAATTGACAAACTCAAAATATAGAATGATATTTATAATGATTTAATTTAACATGAAGAGACCACTTCCCCAATGGGGCTTTTCACGGCTAAAATAAACAAACTGAAACAAACATTGTCAATAAACATAGCGCTGAAAATCCCAACTTGCCACAGACATACCAGTTGACTGTATATAAAGTGTAGCCAAGGATTTGAACGCAGGGTGGAGGACTTGAACCCGGGACCTCAGACTAGTGCTTTACGTATTACTTTTGACATTTAAGCGAAAATCGTTCCATTTCGTAATCCCCTATAAAGCTATTATCAGATATTACTGTTGATTTCAGAGACCCCAGGAAGGCACTATGATGACACTATTACCACCAAACAAGATGGCCTCCTTTTGTAAACAAAGAGACAAAAGAAAGAAACGAAATTATTTAAGAGGAGAATTTTCACGACAGTGTTTACCTGAGATGTACTTGTGAATCTGTTTTGGAGAAGCGCGCTGCGGTGTCTCCGTTAGATTTTTCTTCATTCCCAGTCTCCTCTTCGCCTTTCTCGGTTTGCCCTTGTTCGTGTTCTTCGAATGTGACTGGCATTTGACACAGTTCTTTCTTACTTTTAAACTCTAAGAATGCAATTGTAGGTGGAATCAGGACGCCCAGAACGGTCTGCAAGTAAAAAAAACTGCACTTTCAACATATAAAGACTCAAAATCTACAAACTTGAACCACAGTGACCCATTTTCTAAAATATTCTTTACATAGCTAGTATAGCAAGATCCTACAATAAGCCCTCTCTTTGTGATTGGTCTAAGAAACTCGCGCCAACTTCTAGCGCCTCATGCAGTTTTTCCAATGAGGTCTCGTTTGTTCTTTGCAACATTTTCCTTGGTTCTGATTGACCTCTATGATTAGCTTAGTTTTAAGTTAAAGAGACTTAATCTAAATACCCTTTGCCGTCATCCTGTGGTTGCTTATCAAAATTAAAATTAAAAGAATAGAGCAATTTCAATTGAGTGTCGAAAGTAATCCGAGATTGCACTGGTTTTGCTTTACTTCGCTCTGTGATTGGGTCAGAATATTCGCACCACTTTCTCCACCAATCAGATGCAAAACTAAAACCAATCACGACTAGGTGGTTCGCGTTTTCCCGCTTTATGCAATTTGGTTGTTTTTATGTTAAGTTTTAACAGGCTCTGAAAGGTATTTTCCCAGTTTCTTCTTATCGGCTGTTATAATTTCTTTGGTTTTACGACGTTAAGTGGAAAAGCATTCTTCAACAAGTTTTTTTGGACTATATTTATTTAATTGGCAATTCCATTCGCCCTTGTATACAGGGATTAGACCTATTTGGGTTAGGATAGCTCGTTGTCCATCTATCATCTCAAAGTTAACTTATATACATGCAATGATATTTTATGATAAGTATGGCTTTGGTTAAACAGTTAGAGAACCTTGCTAATAACACTGGCTTTATCGCAGTCATAAAAGAAGGATGGTACCGTATAACAACTTCTACCTTGACTGAACACCATTCGCTCATTTTCATGGCTCCCATCCAGATCTCAGTTAGCAGGGTTTGACAACATGGGTGGGCAACGAACTCCTCGTGCCCTGTGGCAACAGCAAGTGACAGACAGCACTGGTCTCCCCAGTTGTCCAAGTTGTAAGTCAACAACTGCTGTGCCACGTCTTCATTTGAGCGATAACACTCATCAAGTAAACCCAAAGCAATACCCAGAAACTCACTAAAAAAAAGTATGATCAGCCATAAGATTATGAGCACAAGATATCTATCTATTCATCACTGAACAGTTACGAGTTTACCGTTTTCTCCTTCAAAATAATCACTAGACGGATGAAGTTTTTAAGGCCCGATTTACGATATCAGTAATAGGGGAACATCGCTAAGCACGAAAAATTACTAACTTTGGTTTTCATGTTCAAATCTCTCCAATCTAAGGACAAAAACACATGACTAAGAATATAACATTAAGTCTTTATTCATGTAGTCTATGTAAAGGAAAATATATTGATTTAAGTTCGAATTGGAAAAATTAGGTTTTGTTTAGTTTGGTCATAAGAACTCATTCAAAATAGTCCATGGGTGTTTCAGTCTCTCTCAAAGTCATAGTAAAGCATGTATCATTGATGGTTTACTTAAAAAGCATATACACATACCGTGAATGAGTTTCGAGTTCCTCTGTTATATCTGCCTTCAATTCCTCTTTTGCCATCTCCTCTGCGAGAGCCTTAAATAATTTGCCTGCCACAAGGGCCTTGGCAAGGTTCTCATCACCTCTTTCCCACAAAAATAGTGCCATTTTGTGGAGATTAGAGAGTACTGCCCATATTAAGAGCTCGTTGTACGGTAACTTGAACCCTGCGCCAAAGTAGCTTTCGTCTGCGGTTGACATAAACATTTTCATATTCGCCATTCCTATACCCTGGAAAATAAGACAATTTTGAGTATTAGTTCAAGGCCTGGGAAAAATAACCCAAGAGTTTTTCCAATGTCAAGCGTCAGTGATAAAGGTGCGTGTAGGCTAACGGAAGTTTACTGAAGTGGTCTACTTTCCAACTCATGATGAGTACGAAAATTATCTGATCAAGGGCCAGACACATATACACCAAGGCGCGTGACTTTACGAGGGCCACTGGAAGCTGATTGCCATAAGCGTGCTGGCCTCGAGATCCGTTTTAACCGAGCGTACTTCAACTTCAAAGGTTTGTAGGCATACTCGTTGAATGTACACAATGAAATCAATTTAGGGTTTTCTCGACTTCGAAGAAGTCTTTACCAAAAAAGAAATCCGCGTTTTGAGGATCGATGCGACGAACCTGATTGAAATTCTATAATTTGCAGTTTAAATACGTCTACCTTCTTGATCGATCCATATTCTTTGTGATGGTGAACAAAGCTGATTCCCAACAGCCGTTCAGTGACACTTGCTAAGTCTCCAAGTTTGAAGGATTTAAGAGCCTGCAGTACAGTAAAGATCAATATAATCGCGAATTGCAAAACTCATCAGAGATTTCATGAGAATGTTTAGCCACAAAAACGTGAAGGAATTTTAAAGCACCCTGTGATACCTTTTTCCCTCCAAAGAGTCGATAAAGTGTGAAGCTCTTTGTTGCCCTCTGTTGAATAAAAAAAAAAATGGATCACCGATCAAATCAAGGCATTCGATAATCAGCCAAAAACAACTTATGTCTCATAATGTGGAAATTCAACAAATATAATACAAGAGTGCAAGAAATTAACGTACAACTCTGTAAAGTTCCTCCAGACGGCGAGCAGTGAGGAACGACGACATACTAACACCATTCTCCAAGAGAAGATCAACGAAGTCAACACGGTCCTTCACCAAAGCCTCAAACATGGCGCTCTCCAATACCGAAATCTGACGGAATGCAGAAAAAAAAAATTGTCACCGATGAGGAATTTTTAACTGTAGCCACAAAAACTTTGGCAATCATAGCCATAACAAAGATCTTAAGTTAAAATGGAGAGCTCTTTGGCGGTGCTAAGTTTGTAAATTCACCACAAGATTCTTCAATAAAATTACCAAATAGCTGTAAAGATAACTCTTGCAAGAACACTGGAAAACTGACGGAGTTGTCCTGACATAAACAAACTAAGGTTTACCAACGAGCTCATGGGAATCAGGCGGGTGAGGATGAGGTGAGAGTGTATCGTCAAAGGCGAGCTCTTAAAGCGTTTAAAGTCCCTAATGGTTTCACAGGATGCACAATAGATTTTCTTCAAACCTCCCATTTACGATCCTCCTTGAAGATTTCGCACTTAGCGATGTCAGCTCTGTTCCATATAAGAGCCAGACTCAGCTGGTGGGACGGCGAAGCACTGTGACCTTGAAAGTGAATGTAATGGGTTAGACTTGCCAAGATCATCTGTAGAGAAGGCTTTTATCCACGGCTAAACAATCAAAAGATGCAAGTAGTCTATCGCAGTGGCGGTGAAATCATAATTCGGTTGAGGCAACCACGAATTAACTTATGAAATCTAAATTAGAAACAGCTCTAATCGTGGGTAGACGAATCAAATATATGTCAGCCCTCGTAAGTCAGATTCACCGTAAACATTCAACTATTTTCTTCAGTTGACCATCTCCGAGAGAATTTCCCACTAGATGATGATATATTCATTAGGTGGCTAGTCCTGAGATTCTTGCTTTATATCCAAACGAAGGCCCCTTAAAATGGATGATTTCCTGATTCTCATTGCATTTTTTTTCACAGTTAAATCAAAAAGAGGAAAATAGGCATGGATCTACCTATGACGAATTACCGTTTAAAAGTGCTCTCAAAATTGCTCGGTCAATATCCATCCCATCTTCGTTCACACTGAAAATTGTGATCTAAAAAAGATCGTTAGTAGATGAAAATGAGGTAATCGGGGGATCAGGAACTGATTTGATGCCAGTAAGAAGACCACAGCAACTACAGACAGTGGAATGTCAGGCCGGCTCTCAGCTACACGTTAGGATTCTGGTCGCGATTTTACTTTTCACCTTTGAGGCTCAGCGATCTGATGTCAAAATCTAAAACTTCTCAGAAACCTTAACTATAGTCTCTGGTATTCTCACTTAGTTATGACCTCTGCACATAACAGGTAGGGGAATGGGGCCAATGGGGAAAAAGAACTGGATAAGAAAAATTAAGCAAAAACGGACATACGTATCTCTTGTTTCCTACACATCTCAGGACATTTTCGTAGATCTTCAGACATTCTTCCTCGTCACATTCAGGAAAAGCTTTTTCTATTTTTACAAACAGTTGATGATGTTCCACAACATCCACCATTTCCTGAAGGTCTCCATCACTGTGAAAAAAAGCCAAGACTGCTAACTCTATACTGCATTTACTTGATAGAAGAGCAGATTAAGAGGGGAAAAGACATACAGTCGCTAACAGCAACATTTCAAGCGTGTTTCACTCTTCCACTAATAAGATTTATTCGTGTAAGTGTTCTCCCATATTTTTCCCTCTTGCAAACGTTTCACCAAATGTCACTTGTTGGTTAGTGGGAAGCATATCCAACTTTTTCTTATCACCCCACGAGTCTCCTTAAAACTCTCCCAACACCTTGAGTAAAACGACGTCACTTTTGTGAACATTATGTCATCCCCTATATAATTGAAAGTCAAGTTCGTGTGTCCTTAATTGACAATGTCTAATCCCTGCTCCTTGATAGTCCTATAAAACTGGTAACAGTATTACTATAGAGAAATCAATCGGGAGTCGAGAGCTATCCATATTACTGGTTTGCTTAACGTTACTCTTTGATTAGTCTAGAAAACTCGCGCCACTTCAAGTCTATCAGATGCGAGCTAAACCCGATTGCAACTTATTCACTAGCAACTTTTTCCGCGATTGAGCCAAATTATCGAATTAAAGCTCCCTGCTTTATCCATCTCTGTTCTGACTAGAGTTTGATTACTTAATTTGATGCTGGCTCTACAGCTGTCAGTGGGAAACCGTTCACTGTGTTGTTTATAGTTGGGTGACTTAAAAGGCAACATTCTTAACTTTGTTCACAAACGGCTGCGTTCGTTTGTTCAGTGCAGCCCATAGTAAACCTAAACATTCACTCACCAGCTACTCTGAGAAATGAAGCGATGAGCATACGCTAAGATGTCTGCCGCCCTACCACTTCCTTCGGCAACAACCACTGGTACAGCAGGACTCCTTCCAACAGATTCTAAGACTGTGCGAATGGTGTTGGGGCCTCCCTCTAGAACGAGCAGTACCACAGGTACACCATGCGTTCGCTCTATGAACAGAAAAAACCATTCCAGAAATAAGTTTGTCTGGAGCCATTGACAGGAATAACGCTCGTTAACTCTTAAATCCCTAAGAATGACTAGCATCTAATTTCTCTTTACAATATTACCTCTGAATCACACATTAAGAGAAAAAAGGAAACGATCACCAACAAAAGAAGCTCCTGGTTGTTGAACAATTTCCCTTTTTGAGCATCTCAGGAAATGTATAGAGAACGATATGGAGAATATGCACTCTGATGTTAGGGCGTAAAGGGTTAAGGATTTCTATTGTACGGGCGTCGTTAATGTATTCTGCCTTCAAAATTTTTTTCGTTTTATTTTTCGACGATCAAATGAGATACAAAGTCTTCTCCAGCCCATTTTCACCATTTGTTAGGTTTTTTTTAGCAATAAAAAAACAAACAAAAAAATAAGGCTCCGGGATCAGAGTCTAGTGCAAGCGAAGAAGAATAAATTGTATTTACAACAGCTGAAAAACACTATGTAATTAAAGTCCCCTCGCTTTGCATGCTACTGTAGCTTAAGATCAATATTTGTTATAGATCTCTGTTCACTTAGGAGTAAACTTGATAAGCGATGTGCCTTCACAAATCTGAATCTTAACCATCTCGTCGCTTAAGCAATAGGGACCTCGAGTAAAAAAGAGAGAAGACGGCAGCGAGAACGCTGAGAAACAAAAAGTTTCATGGGCAGGACAATAGCTCTGAACGCACACTAAAAAAACCTAATTAATTTCCTAACTGTCCCAAACAAAACAAAGAGAGATCACCAAATTAAATTCGAGTGGTCTGGGAACGAGAATACCCAACGGAAAATTAATCACTCTTGTGTTTGGGATTCAATGTTGCCTGTCTTCATTATGCATGAGATGAGATCTAGTGCTGTGAGAAAAAGGTAAACAGAAAGATACATTCCCAAAATTTAAAGACAATTTTAAGTACAATTTTTAACTCGACGTTTTTCATAAGCGTAACAGTCGTGACTGCCTAAGATCCCGAATCTATCATGGAACGTCCCACATATACAATAGGGGCAAGGGGCAAGGATTGACGACGACCAAAACACTTAAGAACAGCAAAATGACAATAATTCGTTTTTTACCACATGATTTCTCCATCTGTTTTCGTGATATACAGTTCTCAAGACTTGCGCGAAAAGAAATCTCTCCTCCAAATTTATTGATCGTGCCATCATCAACTAAAATAAAATGTGTGTGGTTGTTATCCAGGCATGCACCTTGTGACATCTTACTGGATGTCATCTGATAAGACACCACATCCTGAAAAAAAAAAAAGTTTCAAGATCGTTGAATAATGAGCAGAGCTTCTATTGATTGAAATCATATGAGTCAAGGAGATGACTAATAGAAAATTCATCTGTAATAAGCAGAGGACCAAGAGGAAATCTGAGAACTCACCCTAACAACTCTTTCGACATCGCTAATCGTGATAAACATGACATTAACCTACTCTCGTTTAAAATGAATTAAACTTTTTTTGGAAACTTTAGAAATTTATAATTTCCTACTCTCCCGCCAAATTATCATTATTATTATTATTATTATCATTAGCATTATTATTCCTAGAGCTCTGATAGTTTTTTTATTAACGTTTTCTAGCATTTTTAGTTAGTTAGCGATACACTGGGGATGAAGGAAAGTCGATGAAAAGTTCCCACGAAAAGGGCTCAATTGGATTTCGATCAATGTCAGTAACGGAGCAACTTTGCTCCTAACCCTCTCCTAACCCAACAATAACCCTTGCTTGATGTCACTTGACTTTTGCTGGGTTAGGGAGGGGTAGGAGCACAGTTGCCCAGATAGTGACATTGATCCAAAGACTTTCGAATATTGCTTCGCTGAATTGTTAGCTAAGAATCCACCTGATTACCGACGAGAATTTTTCTGTGATCCACAATTCCCCAGGTCGCTATGCCAATCAAATGAACTTGTTGGGTATTGTCCTTCAGTTGAGCACCACGTGACATAACTGTGTGACCTCGCACAGCCTCCCCAACGTGACGCATCACACCTGTGTTCGTGCCACCTGTCATGATCCAGGCTCCTGTGGTTTGCGCGGCCTGTGAAGACAAGGCAAAAATACCAACTGAAATGAAAGTAAAACACTGGAAAACACCTGGGTGTTATATTTTTTCCCAGCATGCTCGGTCTCGTCACTACTAAAACATGCCGCGATTCAATTTATAGTTTTTCCCTCCCTGCTATCAGTTTCACTGAAAGGTTTGGATGTTTAACCAAAGCAACAAAGAAAACTCAGACGAATTGAGTCGCTGTTCAGCGGGTCGACTCCAAAAGGTCTCTGTTTCAAACTCAGATTGCAGAGTAGAAATTGAGAGTTTTTAGGGTTCTTTTTCGTTTGCTTCAGATTCAGAATATATCAAAACATCTCTTGTGTAAACGAATCAGTTCTCAATGTACCTTAAGAAGGCCTTGTCGCAGCACTTGCTTCAGTCTCGGATGAAGCACAAAATTCTTTGCGCCCCCAGTCACTGAGATAAGAAGCTTGGGAAGCTCCAGCTTCCATTCCTTACAGAGAAGGCGCAGAGCCATTTCAGGATCTGTGTCCTGAGATACACGGATATACTGGTCAAAGAAAAGACAAAAGAAAAGAGAATGTTATAAATTAGTAGGCAGGACGCTCGTTAGATATGTACCTAATATATGCGCCTAGTTCGTGAATGATGACCATGCGGCTTATCCTGCCCGGCAGTCTTTTTTCCGCTTTCTTTAACCAAATCAGAATGATTACATGCTTACTAGGAGTGCAAATCACGCAAAATCATGAAGGGAGAAAAACACGGCTCCTTCTTAGTTCATGCTGCCCGCCCATGGCCGTAAGCAGGTTGTTTGCAGCTCAGTTGATAGCGCATCCAACTGCGACATCGTAACTAGCTTAGAGTTCAGGTCTTCCCGAGGAAATCAAAGTTTTTCTTTGTCTAAATTTTCTTTTTCCATATTGTCCTTTACAAACTTTCCAAAATAGTAAGATTGCAGTAAGAATGAAGCTTTCAACCACTGTTAAAATTATTTTTTTTTTTTAAATTGCAAGATTTCGCTGGTCTACGGCGTCACCAGGAACGTAGCGAATAATTAACATCTTCATCTATTTTTTGGAAAAAAGAAAGTACCAGTATAAAAATGTTCCTCACTGGCGGGCTGCAATTGTAGAAATTCCTAAAAAGAAACCCGAAAATACTTAGGCCTCGAAGTGGTTCAAATCCTGCGATTTCTTTAATCGCAGCTCCCGCGAAAAATAATTCATTTACTTGAAAATAATCCGCAGGTCGAAATAGGATTTATTTTATATAATCGTGAAAGAAAAGACGACGTTTGTAAGATCAAATGTTTCCTTACCTTGGCTCGGCTGACTTGTCCGGCTCCTTGAAATTCTAGTTCTCCATAGGCATTGGTTGGTTTGGTGATAGTATGTTTAAATACCTGCCATTTGTCTCCTGCTTTACCAGTCGACAGCAATGCTTCACCGTTATGGTGCTGCTTCAAGCGCCCACAACAGCATCTGGATGAGAAACCGAAGAAAACGAATTAGATCAATAGAAGACAGCGGCAGCTAGCCTAATGCATGGACAGCGGCAGCTAGCCTAATGCATGGTCAGCGGCAGCTAGTCTAATGCATGGTCAGCGCGCTGGACGTTATAAAAGTTACCGAATTCTGCAATAGATTACCGATTGTAAAATAACTTTGGACCGTTTGTAGCCGGTAAAACTCTTTATTTGGTGATTATTTCATCACCTCTCATTTGACTGAGAGGTGATGTTGCAAGGAGAAATTAGAAGCTGGTCACTGTTATGGGTCAAAGCGTGAAGGTCATGGGAATATGAGGCGGGGCATCGGGGCCTATTAGAAACCGCAGAACCGTAGAAAATTATCATTCAAAACCGAAAAACCCCAAAAAAATTCGATCAAAACCAAAATCTGCTTGCAAAACTGTCCAAACAGATACATTTTCAAATCCCAGTTATTAAAAGAAGCGTGAAACTCCTGGGGATCCCTACGATATTTCAATTGGTTTGTCACGTATTCCTCTCAATAATCAGTGGAGGCGCGTAATTGCCGCTCAGATCGAAGAGAAACCGGAACCTAAATAGGACAAATAGGAAAAACCGAAAAACCGCATCGGATATCAAATCCGAAAACCCGTTAGAGTTTTCCGCGAAAGCCGAAAACCACATGCTGAAACACGATAAATCCGCAAACCGTAATAAACTCCAAAACCTAAAAACGGAAGTTTTTTAGCACAAAAACCAATCCAAAAAATAGCCAAAACCGCAAAACCGAAAATCCCAATGGCCCCTTCAATAAGGAAAACGATCGCAAACTGAAGAAGCTAGTACTTAATATTGTCAAACAAATTCTCCTTGTCAACATCCCAGGAAAGGTATAGTAAACAGTATGGAGAATATGTGCAATGATGTTCAGGTGTAAAGGCTTGATTATATCTGCATGCGTGACACCAGAATACGCACGACTGTTCTCCTCTAGAGCGGTTATCAGCGTTTGATTGTCACCATGCAAGTGAATTATTACAAAAGAATGCGTCATGGCGGGAGAAAGCGGAGTGCACACAGACACAATAGGATTGAGTTCTCTAACCCCCTAAGCCTTTAAATCAATATGCAAGTTTTCCATACTGTTCTCTACACTAAAGAGCATTTAGCTACAAATTGAGAGCTTCTAGAGTCTTGGATAATTTCTTTTATTCTCTTTGCCTTAATGTTTTATTTAGGGGTGATATTGTGGGGAGAAATGAGGTGCTTATCACTCTTTGGGGTCTCGTCTTCGACTTCCGTTCCTACAAGTCTTGTTGCTACAATGGATTTAAAATTCTGACCGATCTGATAATTTCTCAGTTAGTATTTTTCTGTTGCATTTAACCTGTGCTTACCTATAATCATTTTGGGTGGACGGAATAAACCAATGGCAGGTTCTTTTCCTGAAAGTTCTGTAAATCCATGATGCTTTGGCTTCTGGTGTGTTTGACTACAAGACGTGGTAAGAAATATTAGTCGACTAGCCACACACATACACAAATAACAATATCTTGTTTCAATAGAATATTAAAATGCACTTTCAACTTAAGCTTATTCGAGGAAATTGTCACTCGACGCGCCTACCTCTGGAGGAAATTTTTAGACAGATTAATTTTGTTACCACCTGTTAAAATTATTCTTCTACATCCACCTACCGGCTTTCCGTCGATGTTTTCATTCTCGTCGTCCGAACTGATGAGGTTACTCCTGCTTGAATTAACCTCTTTCATCTTCGACGACGTCAAATGTCGTGATTACGGCTAACAATTAAAATTCACGAAAACGAAAAGTTAGAAGCCTTAAGGTGAGGTGTTTTCATTGATTTCCCCAAACCACAAGTCACTCACTGCCAAGGATCTTTCATGGAAAGAGCTGAATCGGAATTCTTGAATCACTCGGAATACGGAATATCGCACCAGGTGACAGCTTTGCATCACACTTAAGGAATCACTGACAACTGATCTAAAGTCATTAATTTGAAGTTTTCTACGACAGTTCCAGTTTCAAAATTAAATTATTCATTATCACATTCTTGCTCTTATCCGTCGCAAAGTTCACAGCACAGGTGGTGAAGTTCCTAAAGTAGGTTTACCTTTGGCTGATGTGTGTGTTTGCGGAACACTGTTGCATGACTCGAGAAGCACGTGCTTTTTTTACGTATTGACGTGTCAATTATTTATAACATGGCTATTGTGTGACACGGTCTGACACACTTGAAAGATCCCAAGATACTCTGATCATCGTTCAGAAGGCGAGCGACGTCAGAGTCTCAGAGCAACGGGGAATTTATTAAACGCAAACGCAACACAATGGGAGCTAAAAAAAAAAAGAAAAAAGAAAACAATACAATGAGACGAATGTGAAGAGACCTGTCCGGGGAGTATTATACATTTGGTTTATTGACAAAGCCTTGAGGTCAGGATGGAAACGGTGGCCTAAACATTATTTGGAGTCAGACTAGAGACAAAATTGCCTTCGCTTCGTCTTTGTCAAATTACACTAAAGAATTTGTTTTGTTTCTAAGACTTAACGCGGTAGTATTTGTGCGACTCCATGAACCGTGTGGCGTACGATTACCTCTGTGGAAGATTTGACCTCGTGTAAATCAAGGGTGCATCAAAATTATGAATATGAAAGGTAATCAAAGAAAATAATCCAATGAATACCATCACATGATCTAAAAGGAGACAAAAAAAACATCTGGTCGAATGAGGTCTTCTGATTAAAAAAGTTGCCCGTTAACTTTTTTCGCGTTCCAAAAAGAAAAAAAAGAAGTATAGTCTAGAAGTCGCTAACAGTTGTCGTTTAAGCAGCGAGAAAGCCGAAAATCCAAGGCGGGAAAGTTAGGGCTGTATTGCCCAGTAGAGTAGCCAATCAGACCATAGAATTCACTTCATCTTAACCACTCGAGGAATCTTCTTAATAATCTAATAAGCTATGCACTAAGGTCAAGCCAGGTCAGATCGATCATTAGGCCGAAGTTGAAGTCTTTTAGGCCAATACTTAGACAGGAATTAATGCATTCACTTCCCGGCTTATCAGTGCCAACATTTTATTTACAGTGTTGCTCTTCGTCTCGGCAGATTTTGCGAACAATTGTCACAAGAATGCTTTTATCTACCGAACAGTTGTGAATTAAAGTTCAGATTCTTAACAATTCTTCCTTGGAAAAAAGCCACATGCCCCACATCCTTTAATAAGCACCTTTTCTGGTCCCAAACATTCATTCTTACTTTTACATCTGCATATACGACGGCCATACAAAAAAACAACATCACTCTCAGAAGGCAGCGAGTCCTATCTTTCAAACCAGGGGTCACTTATACATTACACGCGCAGAAGTCCGCCGCAATTGTGTTCTGGACTACCACGGCTTCCTTAGGTAAAGCATAAACTAAGATGCTTAATTGTGAACTGCTACTATATCGAGATGATCCGCAAAGTGGCTGGTACGAGGAGTTAGTCATGAGAGGCCTCTTCTCAGTCAATACATTCTCTATTCCTTACATCGCAGAGTTTTGATTCTTAAGGTTTTGCACTTATTTTTCTTATCTTAGAGGGCAGTGCAAATGTGGTTGTTGTCCACTTTCTAAGTTTATGAACATTTTATATTACATGCCAAATAAATTGCAAGTTTTTTGATAAAGTTACACTGTCAGTCCAAACGTCATCTTGTTTGGACATCAAAAACAGTATGTTCACCGAAAAAGCCATTAAAAACTCGGAGCTTCTCCGTCACTGATGACGATAAACATGATGTCTGACAAGTCTGTACTTGACGCCCATGCATCAATGAAAAACATGGGCCACTGTATCAAGTCCCACCAAGAAATGTTATTTATATTTTCCAGTTTTCGCCGGAGCGACGTTCTCTATTTCTACTTCTCTCCATCTTTGCTATTGTCGCCGTCGTTCTCGCCTAACCCAGCAATTTCTTCTTCACTTCCGCCCAAGGCGCGCCAAAAAGCAATGGCCACCTGAAACCACAAAATAGACTTAACAAATAGATTCCAAGTTGCCGTGCGTCTGTTCAGTAATAGATCACAGATGACGTCAAAATGGCACACGAGGCGCAGCTGAGTGTGTCACTGATGTTCTTACCACATTTTGACGTCCTCTGTGATGTATTGCTGAACAGACGCACGGCAACTTGGAATCTATTTGTTTTATATAATAAAGAATTAAAAAAAGTTTTAATGATGACGTCATCTATACGTCTGTCCTCCAATAGATCATAAGTGAGAACCAATCAAAACGCGTGCATAACTGAGCTTATTATATAAAAATCAATAGCCAATATGCATAATCTACATACTGTTTTTTCTACATTTTCTAAGTTGGTGACAAGGAGAACTAGTTCAATAATCAAGAGCTTCTCTAGACACTGTAAGGGGTCAAAGTGTTAAGATATTTAGAAACAAGACTGTAGTGTATATTTAGAGAAAAAGAATCGACATATCGACAAGACAGCAGATTGCAAAATTCGCAACTTACCTTCTCTGCGTAATCCTTTCTTTCGGTAGCTGGAAGAGACGATGCACGTTCTGTAAAGAAGATTTAAAATTGAAGTGGTTTACCAAGTCTGGTGGAACTTACTTTAATATTACAAAAGTTTTAAAATTTTCCTACCTTTCATGACCGCCAGTTTTTGAAATAATTCCTCAAAGGATTCATCGTCGTTTCCATCACTGGCGAGGCTGCTAAGCAATTCGAGATCATCAGTTGGCAGAGGGAAGACTGGAGAAATAGAAATTTTCATCTGAGATACTTCACTGGCGTAAGGAATTAGACAAACCCTTTCATGCGGCACCAGTGTAGGGACAATCTCTTTAGAAATCTTTGGAACAAGGACATTTTTAGGAACCTTTTCTTTCTTAAAAGCGCTACATGTGCGTTTTAAGTCTTAGTCATTTTCCAAGCTGTACTGTGCAAATCAACAACCGACATGAATCACCAAAGTTTGCATGGTATGAGAATGTAATCACCAACAGCATATCAGACAAGTATCTGTTTGGCGCACAACACTATCTTCATATGTTCCTCTAAACATGAATTCTTGCATAGTCACGGGAGGAAAACGAAATCTGTCATTCACAAAATTCTCAAGGAATATAAAGTATTGTATAAAATTGTTTTTTCATTGACGTTTCCCGTGGCTTTGCCAGGCGTTTAGAATGCTACTTATCGGGAGCTTTCATTTTAATGTACTGGGATCAGTAAGTATACAAGCAAACCTTTTTTGCAAACCTGGTGGCCGCTCGGCTGCTGCAGCTTGGTTGCTGCTTAGTTTTTCGTCATTGCTGAGCACAGCCTTCGCTTGTTGCGTTCTTTCGGAACTTTTATGACTCCGTGGATTCTCTACAGATAATTAAAGAAAAAAAAATGAAAAGTTTGCCTTCTTGGTTAGCCGCAAGCGAGTTCTTCTAAAAAAGATTTGCTTCTGAATGTAAATCGCGTGTTGCGCAGTGGGTCCACATTACATGTTGATCAGAACTACTTAAATCGAATTACACTTCTGATTTCTTTTTGTTGCAATCATCTAAATTTGGATGGGTGACAAAGGAGACAACCATTTCCGCTGCCCAAGCTTATGATGGGCTTTAATTAGCCACTGATACTAATTTATTTTTGGTATGTGAAAAATAAAAAGTACAGTGTGTGTACATTCCCACAGCCTATGCATATAATGGTCTTTAATCAGCTAGAAGAACAAGAACCTTTTGTGAGGACAGTCCTTTGTGGTATAGCAAAGTTAGTCCTGCGGCCGGGAAATTAATAGTCCTTTATCCTCCAGCGGGGCCTTATGCTGAAATAGTCCCCGACGCCGGGTATCGCTGGTTTTACTGATGCTTTGTCGAAAGTTGACTGCCTTATCATGTAATGAAGAACACCGCAGTTGCTAGCTCATGAAAGACCATCGTGTGCATAGGCTGTGGGAATGGTTCCACACACCGTACTGTTTACTTTTCACTTACCAAAAATAAATTAGTAACAGTGGCTAATTAAAGAGCATCATCTGCTTAGGTAGCGGGAATGGTTGTCTCCTTTGTCACCCATCAAAAATGAATCGGTATCAGTAGCTGGTTAAAGACCATCACAGTGTTCGACACACATGCTGGAATTGTGCTTCACACTGTTCTGTTTCCTTTGTCGCTCATGGTAAAGTAAAATTAGTTTCAACATGACTAAGCTTAATGTAAAGTGAACAAGCAAACGTTCCAAAATACTCTAGAACTTTACAGGTAACGCTTTCCTAAAAATTAAATCATTTTAACTTGAATGAACTATCCAAACACTTTAAAAGTTATCACCTAGTGCTTTGATAAGAACATGTTTCAAAAAAGTGTTTAATATATAACTAGCTGCCTTTTAGAAAAGGATGTTAAACTAAAAAATAAATTTTATGCAACCTCTGCACATCGGGCTTGGGAAAGACCTTAGGTTGATTTTTTTTATCATATGTTTTGATCTGGGTTCTGTATAAGCTTAGTAGTACAAACTGGAGATGCAGTGTTCTACACAGATTTTGAAGAAGTCAGCAAAAAATGTAAAGTAGCCAACGCTTGCAATCGAGCGTCCGACTAGGAGGGTCCAGGGGCATGCATTACAGGGAACTGGCTGGGCTTCAACCTGGACATGACGATCAAGTTTAGATACTGCAGATATTTCACTGTTGTCCTGTGCTTCAGGGGCCTGAAGGTCACTTGCAAAATCGACTTGAATACCAATGTCAATCTTTGCAGCTGGATGGTACAGACTGCCTTCATGATCTGATCCTTCAATCCTTGGCAGCTTCTTGAGTGATGTGAGATTTCTGAAGTTTGTCTTTCTCCAGACTTTGGTTACTTCTTTCAGCATTACCTTGCATTCTTCAGACTGGTGTGAAGGACCACTGAGTGAGATGCGTTAGAAACTGGCCATCATGTCATTCTTGAGGCGACTTCTCAAAATTTACAAAATTGAAGTCTTTTTTATTATTTTTTATGCCTATTTATTTCATTCCAAGATAACTATGCAGAAACAGATGCGAAGAAACTGGGTCCGACTTTCAAAATAGCTCCTTTAGCAACTAGCAGTGAAATGCGACCTTATGAAATCTACCTTCTCTTTATGAGAATGTTAGGTTCTGAAGGCTATTAGAGTCGTCATAAACTTGAGAATCACCCCGGGATGAAGTTATCTTGAACAAACCAGCAAATATAACATCGCGCGATTGAACAGCTGATCGGTCGGCAAGCCCACGGTAGTGAATGTAAATATAAAATTACCGATTTCTATGCGTTCTTTCGAAACAAAGAAGCTTGTTATTCTTCCTCTTGCCCTCTTTCCATCGTTTTGATTTTGCACTGATTTTTGCTTTGACATTTCTGATTGCAGAGAACTTTCTCGCTGGGTACGCCAAGTTGTTCGCTCCACGTACTCTCGCAAGATGGAATTTACGAAATACGCGTACAGAATCGGAACAGAATCGCGGCAAAAGTTGTAGTCTATGTAACAATAGGCACTAGTTCGTAGTAGCCTCGTTTAAGTGTTTAAACTAAACGGACGGATGTTTGTAATAACAAGCCAGTTGATGTAACACTTGACGGCAGATATCAAAACGATTCCTTCTCAACTAAACATGGTGTCAGGAGTGAGTACGGGATAGACCGAAACTGTTCGAAAGAAACCTGCAATGCCGACGGACGGACAACAGGCAGGTGCAAATGCGGGAACGACTGACAAGATTACACAGCTTAAACCTCCCGCTCAGTTAGACTTCGATGTGACAAACTTGGCTGACAGTTGGAAAAGATGGAAGCAAGAATTAGAATTGTACATGGATCTGGCAATGAATGGCAGAGACGAGGCGACGAAAGTAAAGTTATTTCTGTATTTAATCGGCAGTCAAGGAAGAGAAATTTATGATACTATGGCCTTCGAAATTCCCGCGTC